ATCACTCTCCATGTGACAAGCGGTTTCTGACAAGTGAATAAAGTCATACTACTCACAAGTAGCGTAAAAATTAGGCAATGAGAAAGGGCAGCCAATCAGCACGCAGGATCTGACAAAATATCAGCAGCTTAGGAGCAGTATCAGGTAGCAAAGAAATGTGAATGAATAAAAAAACCCAGGAGAACTGACTAAAAATGTCAAACTGGGAAAAACAGGTGTCATAATCTACAGGAGTGCTTCGAGTGATGTTTTCCTACCTTTGGACCTCATTTTTGATAGAAATTTGAGTGACATTTAGCCATGCTTCCTTCAAAGGGAACCGATATATCATCCCCGGAGTTATAGTGCTGCACACCTTTTCACTCTGTTCGGCTAGTCCAATTCATACACGAGAGAGTCTGAAATCCGGGGAATCACTGCACTTTCTTTAATAAAGTATTCAGAAATCCTGCGTATTCGCAGAAGCTACTGCGCGCATTTTTTGTTCTACTGCCTGAAAGTACGCGTCAGATTCTTGGATAACACTTAGTACTAAAACGGGGGTGCATTTTTTTTGCCTTACTGCCTCCAACAGTGTTTCAAAATTAAAACTAAACTACTAATAAGTAGCATAAAAATTAAGCAGTAAAAAAGAGGTACCTTGATGGCGATGGGCTGTCACAAAATAGTAGTATTCCAAAAGCGAATATATTCTGTATATAACTGAATTACTTTTAAACCATTCAGGGCAGACTGTGATAAATGATGTCGTCGCGGTTTGAATGGGCAGAAGGCTACGAGCATGGCGCTGGAACGAGGTTGTTTTTCACCTATAGTACGCACAATGTCTGTTAAACAACTGCGAAGAACATTGGGAAAATGAATCCATTGGAAATACTGGTGACTACGTACATCAGGTTCTGCTTCAAAAGTGCCGCTACTAATTTATGTTTAATCTGCGGAATGAATCCAACTACTGTGCTGTTCCTAATTGATCCGAATGGGTCCTGAATCCCTCGTGTATCCCTTACTTGCGTTGTCCGAATTCCACGAACCTACAATGGCTTCATAGATGGTGTCCAATTCCGAGCATTTTTTAATTAGTTGCATGCAGTCTAGAGTCTTCTGACGGAAGTCGATCCATACGCAAGCCAAACTGACGTAAATGATTAGCCGGTCCGAGTCACGTGATCCATAACATAACATAACATACGACTACTCATTACGAGGTCTAGATGCTCAGCTGATAGTCGCACCAGCAGCTCGATGGTCAAGTGGGATAGGCTTCTGCGCAGGGGCCTGCTGGTCCGCGGATCAGATCCACGCGACTTCCGATAATTTACCCTGCGCCGCAAACAACCCTGGTCTTGTTTGGTGCTCCAAGCCCAGGAGCTAATGTGGAGTTTTGTATCTTTCTTTTGCTTCCATTATAACCTCACGTATTTTGTCAGTTGCATGAACGTTTGAATACGAAAAACTACAAAAAAATGCGCACTTGTAAAATTTCACGCAATACAAACGTGGTCACGTGCTTCGACTGTCGCTTCCGATTTCGATCGCGCTTACAGTGGTCATTCGCGAGTGTCATGCGCTAACTCTGGTATCAAACGTTTCAGACTACCTTTGGAATCTATAAGTGAGAACTGTTCAGAAGAAGAGGCCTAGACAGCCATGAATGGATTGTTATTTATTCGCTGACCTGGGCCAACAACAAATTATTTCAAAGACGACAGTTACCCCGATTTTGTTCCATTTGACCCAATTAATTATTGTATACTCAATTTAGCGTAATCATTTTTATTTCTTTGCCACACACTCCTNGTGTTTGCCATACCTCTACACTGACTGTGAATCTAAATGGACTGCCTTTTACTTGGTTTGCTGTACGCATTCTCATATGCAGTGTCTGCAGTCCGCAGTACACATGGTGAGCTCTAATCACCTTATCAGTTACAAAGCTTTGCTTCTTTCTGGTGTCATCCGCGGCCAATGGTTGCATGCACTTTTATATGACTGTTTTACTATGGTAATTACAACCCGACCGTCTTCCTCTATCACAGACACGAGATTTTTTTTGCAAAAGAAGGGGAACATGACTGAAACTTAAGTGGCTGGTTTTGACAACAATCTTACGACCTGCTCTGTTGTTGACTGTGATAACCTCCGAGAAATCAGAATGCCCCGAGCGGAAACGTTCGCGTGACCGTACAGAGGCGTGAAACAAATCAATAGGGGAAACAACCAATCATGTGCAGGAAACACAATCATCTGGTGGAGCGAGCTGTCCAATCACGAACGAGCACCTGCATTGACTGACGGATCAGCGAATGGGCCGAATTGAGGTGCTCTCGGTTAACAGGGTTAACTAGAGAATTGACCCCAATCGATGAGTATGCATGGTTCTGTTCGTTCTTCTTCAAAGTAACAGTATACATCACTGTCAAATAACGAAATTAAAGTGACTCAGCAATAGAGTTTCCGAGTTTTCAGCATCAGACATCATCTCAATGGCGGTGGGCTTACAATCCCGCGTGTGATTGGTTTTTATTGTAGACATAGTTACAAAGCCAAATGTTTTAAAGCAAGTGGGCTCAGTAGAAATTCTGGTGTATTTGACGTTCTTGACATGTGGTTGTCAGCACAGACAACCTCGAGGTTCAAAAATGTGGCAGCAAGGTCAGTAAACGCAAGTGAGGCAAGTGATATTCATAGGCTTGATTAGAATTTTACCTACTTACGGGCTGTCAACATGTAGACGGATGTCCGTAAACTGGATCTGACTTGTTATATTAGGAAATAAAGAATACTATGATGGGAGGAATCACTCATAAGCTTGGTGACAACTCTTCGACGCTGCGACCATGATATCCTTTTGAAACTGCGCACGATCAAGTTGAAACCGGTCAGCTTAATCTACTTGGTTTACCTAAAATTACCCACAGTTATCCTCAGTTCTTAAAGTCGAAATCACAGACTTAGTAACCTTAGATAAATGGCGAAAATTCTTTCGACCCACCTGGTTCCAAAGTACCGCGTGAAAAAGAACGTTGCAAACAAGAAATCCGAAACTTCCACCGCTCGTAGGGACAGACGGTAACAAGCTAAGTGTTAAGCAACCACCTTGTTGAATAGCAATCACTCAAGCAGTACAGCGGCTATTATTAGACGATCGCTTTTTCGAATGATAAATACACGATCAATACAGTATTGTATGGGTTCTATATGCGCTCCACACAGGAAAAAAACTCCTGGTAGAGTAGTTTTTGGGGCAGTCAGAACAATACAGCCCTCCTGACAGTAGCATTCTTTAACAAGCCCAACCTGCGATCTAAATAAAAGATCTGCTGGAACGTGTTTTAAGACCTTTGACTCTGTCCTCTTAAGCAGGCAGATTGATATATGCGCCCCACACAGGAAAAAAACTCCTGGTAGAGTAGTTTTTGGGGCAGTCAGAACAATACAGCCCTCCTGAAATTAGCAGTCTTTAACAAGCCCAACCTGCGACCTAAATAAAAGACCTGCTGGAACGTGTTTTGAGACCTTTGACTCTCTCCTCTTAAGCACGCTGATTGAGGCTTTGCCATTCGACAACGCACCTTTGTCAAAGCGTAGGTCGGTAAGCACTGCAAATAATGTTCCCATGCGGAAGACCCACTCGAACAGCGCCTGATGTAGACCGGTACAGCAGCTGGTCCAAGGTAGATGTCATGCTAGTGACATTGTCGTCAGACGGATGGGGGGGAGGAATTAGGGGCGAAACGCAGTCTAACTTCAGTGTAAACATGCTGTGTGTCCGGGGACTCGTTGGGGGCATCCTCTTCCGGATGTGGCTTGGTCGAAACTGAAAAGCCGTGAGTAAAAGTGACGATCCTGGGATTTATACACCGGTGCCTACGGTATAATAATGCCCCGCATTCCGAACTCATCAAGGGTGGGTGTGCGTAAATTTGGATAACATCTTCTGATCAGATATACGGATGAATGGAATCATTAGTTGGGCAAAAATCACCATCTTAGGCCTACAAGGGAACCGATAGAAGGAGGATCTTCAAAGCCATTACCAGCCAGTCGTACTGCACTTTATACTTTTGCACACACGGTTGCAAGCAGTAAGGACGGTACGATTTTGAATTAGCGCGTAACGCGGCGTTGACATATGTTTGATGCGAGTTATCCTTTTTGAATTGCTTGAGAAATATGCTCGGTGCAAAATGCATCGATTGCTTCCAGACCTCTGTCGAAATTCACCACTACTCTTGATTGACTTACGATGTTTCAGGACTCACATCTTGTCAAAGGTCTGTATATGGAGATCCGAAGCGCATACCCAAGCACCTCAGACTCAACTTGCGCACTTGACATACAGAGAGCAATGTTGTGGAATGTAGGTAGCTCGGGTGCGCTGTTTGGTTGTTAATCTGTTCGCCGAGCTTGGCAGTTGAATTGAAAACGTTTCATCACCGATCGAGGTGACATCGTCAGGGCACCACTCAACCCTGCACTGACGACGTCACCTCGATTGGTGGTGAAACGTTTGCAATCCAACTGCCAAGCTTGGCGAACAGACCAACAACCAAATACCGAGAGCCTTCAGGGTGCGGAAAAGAGAATTATCTTATGAGGCATCTTTCGTGTCTGATTTCGAGGCAGCTGCAGCCAAGTGACAAACATCGTCTTTTTTACTCTATTGGAATTTTGATGTGTTGGGCTGGCCGAACGCGCATTATAAACGAAGTATCATAAGTGACCCCGCCAGAAGTAGCCGTTTAGGTAACACTGACCAGGGAACCGCAGTCTCAGCAGCAAATGCCAATCTTGTTGTAAGGTTCATACTACTTATGGAAGTCCAGCCATCTCTAGTAAATATTGTACAACCGGCCTACAAGCTAGAGACATGGTACTGAGAGGGAGCAAAAAGATGACACCGGACAAAAATCGGTGAAGAAGGAGAGGTGAGGCTGGTGGCTTACAGTCAGGAGTTTCTCCAGCCGCCACTCAGCGACATTCTTTCCCACATTTAGTAACCAGGCCGTCGTTGGTCATTGGATTAGTTTGCCATGCATAGGTGAGGCCCCATTAACAGCGTCGCACGTAGAACCGGACCCAGCAGTTACGATAACCAGTCGAGGTGAGTGACAACGGCTACGGTTATCATGACGGCCGCCCTATGGCGGTCACCACTTATAGAGCGTCACGGACACAGCAGTTACGATAAGCAGTCGCCGGGAGTGACAATAGCTACACTTCCCAGTAGGGATGACACCTGCAGCTACCTCGTGAGGCCGCCTTATATAAGAGTTGATCTAGCAGCCCACGCAGTCCAAAATAACCGAGATTTCCAGTTATAGGTTTATAAGTTATATAAATAACCCCAGGAAGCCGTGTTTTCTGGTTATTGCTCCGATAAGTTACTCTCAAAAAAACAGTCAATCCCGGATGTTGCTCGGTTAAATAACTGTTAAAATAACCATGTTTACCGGTTAATGCTCATTGGAATAACCGTAAAAAACCGTATTTGTAGGTTATTTCGAGTTTGAGTAACCACCACATAAACGTCAGAAAACGCGATTGCCTCTTATTGCTCGGTTAAATAAACTTCAGTCCAGTCACAGTCGAAAATCCGTAAAAAAACGCGTTCGCCGGTTATTGCTTGGTGAAAATAGCGTCAACTAAACGTCAAATAACCATGAATGCCTATTAAAGCTGCGATAAATAACCGTCAAATAACCGTGTTTGGAGGTTATATATTGGATAAATAAACGTCAAAAAACTGTCCAACAACCGTCGTTGCCGGTGATTGCTCGGGAAAATAACCGTCAAATAAAAGTCTAATAACCGCTTTTTTGGTCGCTTCTCTGTTGAATAAACGTCAAATAACCGTCGAATAAAGCACTGCCAAAATTCCCGGGAAAACGACCGTCAAATAACAGCGTCTACCGGTTACTGCACTGTGAAATAACCGTCAAAAAACGGTCTCCCCGGTTATTGCTCGAAACATAACCGTCATCATCACTGCCGGGAAAAGCTCGGTTCAATAAACGTCAAAAACCGTCTCTGTTGGTTATTTCTTGGGTTGAATAACCCTCAAAAAACCGCATCTAGCGGTTATTGCTCGGTTAAATAACCGTCAAATAACCATCACTGTCGGGTATTGCTGGCTTAAATAGTCAAATAACCGTCACTATCGGCTACTGCTCGGTTGAATAACCGTGGAATAACAGTACATGGTGGTCACTGTTCGGTTGTACAACCTTAAATAAACCGCATCTGGCGGTTATTGCTGGGTTAAATAAACGTCGAAATGTAGTGGATAACGTGAGCAAATACCAGTTCAAAGTACTGAAATCAAGTGAGAAGAAAATAGACGAGATGATACAACTCACAGTTCGTTGGTACAGTTAGTTATTACCACCAAAATAAATCCAAAGCGATCTCCTTCCTGGAATCTTCCTTGACATATTCCTAGATACTTTCTATCCCGTCGTAGTCTGAAAGGTGGATCACCGCTCGTTAAGTCACTGACAGCGTAATTCGACACAGCAAGAAGGGAACACGCCTTTCACGAGGTACAGAATTTGCCTTGTGTCCATATTTCTTTTTCCGTTCATTTTAAACAAAAGTTATTCGGTATGAAGAGAAGAGGAGTAAGCTGAGATTTTAGTGAGAGGTAGAAAGTGGTACAAATGGCGTAATGATAAGTTACAAAGAAAGTACAAATGTACAATGGTCAGAAGGATCACCATACATAAACCGCCAAATAATAGTCTATTCCAGCTGCTGCTCGGCTAAATAACCAACAAATAAACGTTTCCGCCGCCTGTTGCTCGGTTGAATAACCGTAAAATAACCGTCCCTGCCAGCTACTGCTCGGTTTTACACGCTTCAATAAACCGTATCTGCCGGCAACTGCTCGGTTAATAACCGTCAAATAACCGTCTTTGCCGGCTAATGCTCGGTTGAATAACCATCCGTGCCGGCTGATGCTCGGTTGATAACCGTCAAGTAACCGTATCTGGCGGTTATTTCTCGGTTATATAACCGTCAAATAACAATCACTATGGGTTATTGATCGATAAAATGACCGTCAAATAAACGTCGCGGCTGGATACTGATCGGTTATACAACCGTCAAAGAACCATCACTGTCGGTTGATGTTCGGTTAAATAAACGTCAAATAACCGTATCCCCGGCTCGTTCTCGGTTAAATAACGGTCAATTAACCGTCTCTGCCGACTGCTACTCGGTTATATAACCGTCAAATAGGCGTCCTAGCCGGCTACCACTTGGTTAGATAACCTTCAAAGAACCATCACTGTCAGTTATTGCCCGGTAGAACAACCGTCAAATAACCGTATCTGGGGGTAATTAATCGGTTATATAGCCGTCAAATAACCGTATCTCCGGCTGCTTCTCGGTAAAACAACCGTCAAATGACCGTCTCTGCCGGCTAAGTCTCGGCAAAATAACCGTCAAATAACAGTGTTTCCCGGCTAATGCTCGGTCGAATAACGTCAAATAAGCGTCTCTGCCCGCTACTTCTGGNCCGTATCTGGCGATTGTTCCTCGGTAAAACAACGGTGAATTAACCGTCTCTGCCGGTAACTGCTCGGTTATATAACCGTCAAATAACCGCATCTGCGGTTCCTGGTCGGTTAAACAATCGTCAAATAACCGTTTCAGCCGGCTAATGCTCGGTTGAATAACGTCAAATAAGCG